AAAAAAAAAAAAAAAAAAAAAGCTGAACAAACACAAACTCCTCAGTTAAGTTGGACCGAAGAAAATTTTCTCAATATCATAAAGGCCAAATGAAAACTCAAGTTGACATCATACTTGTGAAAAACAGTCTTTACACTAAGATCAGGAAAAAGGCAAAAGTGCCCACTTCTTTCTACTCAGCACACGACTAGACATCCTCGCCAGAGGTTGAAAAAAGAAAGCTGGAAGAGAAGCTTATTTCTGATTGCAGATGACATAACTGTAGATCTAAGCCTTATTTCACAACATGTGAGAGTTGTAAAATACACTGTAGATCCGGGCGGCGGTGGTGGTACATGCCTTTAATCCCAGCACTCGGGAGGCAGAGGCCAGGTGAATCTCTGTGAGTTCGAGGCCAGCCTGGGCACCAGAGTGAGTTCCAGGACAGGCTCCAAAGCTACACAGAGAAACCCTGTCTTGAAAAACACAACAAAACAAAAAGATATGAAGTTGTAAGATACTATATAAAACACAAAATCTGTTGATTGTTTTGTACACTTGAACAACCTGAAAATATTTAAAAGTATGATGGGCTTGTTGGTGCATGCTTTTGATCGAAGAGGTAGAGGCAAGAGGACCTCTGTGAGTTTGAAACCAGACTAGCATACATAGCTAGTTCCACGCCAGCCAGGACTATATATTTGAGACCCTGTCTAAAAAAAAAAAATCTTTTTGTTTGTTTGTTTTCGAGACAGGGTTTCTCTGTGTTGTTCTGGTACCTGTCCTGGATCTCACTCTGTAGACCAGGCTGGCCTTGAACTCACGGAGATCTGCGTAGCTCCGCCTCCAGAGTGCTAGGATTAAAGGTGTATGCCACCACTACCCAGCAATAAATACGTTTTGTAAAATGAATTTTTGTGGGCCAGGTATAGTGTCACACGCCTTTAATCCCAGCACTCCTGAAGCAGAAGCATGCAGATCTCTGTAGGTTCAAGGCCATCCTGGTCTACATAACAAGTTCCAGGACTGTCATGGTGAGCAAAAGAGAGAGAGAGAGAGAGAGAGAGAGAGAGAGAGAGAGAGAGAGAGAGAGAGAGAGAGAGCTGTCTGCTCAGATGCCAGAGGTTGACATTGAATATCGTCATCAATCACTCTATTTTTGGAGACGGGTCTCTGAAACCTGAACCTGGAAGTTCATGAATTTGGTGCAACTTCAGATTTTTACATAGGTGCTGGAGATTTTTTTTTAATGATTAATCTAACTTTATTTTATGTTCATTAGTATAACAGTGTTGCATTCTCTGGAGCTGGAATTACAGATGGTTGTGAGCTGCCATGTGGGTGCTGGGAATTG